AACAACTGCTTTCTTCTACCTGCTTGGCATGGGTTTAAATGACAATGTTTAAATAATGGACACAGATTATCCCATTATTATCCAGTCATTGTCTTTTAAATAAATATTCATGATTTTGGACACCAAATTGTCCCTAGGCTATCATTTATATAGGCAAAAGGAAAGCAAGATGTTTGCCGATACTAACAGCTGTTTTCCAGATTCTCCAACCTTCATTCTCTTACCAGCTGTGAGAGGTGAGATGAACTCAATCTATTGAGACTATTGGCACAGTTCTGTTAGGCTTGGCATCTTCCTTTGTCAGTTCTCAGTGGGACACTGGATGCTGAGCAAGCAGTTTATAAACATTTGTGCTTCCAATTAAGCCATAACGCTATATGAGTTATTATGCTTTGCATTTTTGTCTTACACCACAGAAGATACTTTGTACCGTCATCCTGTATCGTTAATTCTTCTAATATTTCTCCTGAAGGAGTTTTGTTGTGCCTGCAATAAGTTTTGTATTTTGCTATAATGACTTATTTGAGCCTTCTCAGCCAGGCAGTGGTTGCTGGAACCAGAATAAGAGTGAAACCACAAATTTCAGCAAGGCGGCTTCACCAAGATATGTCAGGGCAAGAGCACCTTTTCCATGTCAAAATAAAAAAAAAATTCCAGACCAGGAGCTCCACTGATATATTAATCCAATAACGCAAATGCAACATACAAGTGCTATGCTATTATTGGAACACATCCAGAACAGTGAATATGTCGTATGAGTTTCTCACTTTTATAGGTGTTCCTACCTCAGCAGAACGGCACAATATTCTCTTCACACCAACTGATACAAATGTATTACACAAAAGTAATTTCTCTTGCTGAATGATGATCAGTTGGGAGCTTCACCTCTTACTCATGATAACGTACCACAATTCTACAGCCCAGGATATGGCCTGAAGGCATACAAAAGAGGTCTGGGTGAAGCTAGTTGCTGCTTGAAGCTGCCTTGACTTTCATGAACATCTATCCTTGTATAATCCTGCCTGCGAGTTAAGATCTGCTGGGAGAGGTTTCTTAGCAGTTCATACTACTGGGAAAGTTCAGATATATCTGGTTAAAATGTGGCTTTTTGCACAGGCATTTGGAAACTGATGTTGATGCTCAGATGTGATAGGTTGCATTTTTTATATTCTCACAGGGTTTTTTATGGGTGATTGTACCTCACCCTGAGATCTTTGGGTTAAGGGCAAGGATATAAATATTTCAAATAAGTAAACAAGGACATGCACACTCTAAATAAAGAAGGGCAAGTTGTCTCACTGAGACTACAGGCTCACATAACTGAATGTTTCTCCAATAAAAATAATAATAATCTCCATGTGTAGAAAACTAGATGTGAGGCATAAGAATTATACTTAGCTTTCTCTTTGGCCAGCTTACTTTCTATATGGAAGGATCATTCTCACCATCGTCATCATCTGAATTGAAAGTTTATTCAATCATAATACAATTCCCCCCCTGCAGTTGGAAGTGGTGCTTCTCAGATACAAGTTGACAATCTCCATGTCAAGGTGGCTTAAGGTTAGATGCTAGCAGTGAGAAATTCTTCCTTGTTCTTGTTAAAACAAGTGTTTCTTACAACGAATATAAAGTAAGGGAATCAACATTCTGATTCCCACATCTGCTAATCTGAGAGCTGGATGACTCATAGCATCAAGCTACCTACCAGCCAGACTGCATCTCAAAGCATTTCAGTCTGCTCCTTCCCTTCCCCTGCATTTTGCAACCTCTCTCTCTTTTTATGCAGTACATCTGCCATTAGGCTCCACTTGATCAGTACCATTTTGGTGGGGAGAGGTTTGCTCCTTCAGCTGGTGAAGCACAACCATTTCTGCTTTAGATGAACCTCCTTCCTATCCATTTCTACAGATAACTGCATTTGCTTATGCAAACCCAAGCCTTGCGCTGGAATTGCTCCTCTCTTCAGCACTGATGTGCTACTAGCAACTGAAACATGTTCGGCATCCCGCAGACCTTTCAAGAGCAGGCACAGTCCTCATTCATCATAGAGCTTGGATAATTGAGGCAGTCCACCTGCTCTGCATCCTTTCCTGTGATGCTTGCTGAGTTGTGCTTTTTTCGACTCTTCCCATGACCTCTGGCTTCCCAGATACTTGGGATATAAGCTGAAGTGGATGTGGAGACTCTCAGCATTTTTCACTGGGTGCTACAAAGACCTTTTCTTACATGCCAAACTTGTTCCTTTGCTTCAGACTGTCACAAACTGTACTAAACCTCTTGCCACTTTTGCACAATATATATAGTTCTTTGATCTCTGTGTGTGCATTGCACACAGATTGAACTGACCAAATGCCTATCCTTAACTACTTCTCAGACATTTTATTTTGGGCCATTTCATGGCTCTGTCCCCTTAAGTGTCTTCTAACAATTTTGGCTGGTGCCTCAGTTATATCTCTGCTTGGACCGTGGAAGCCTGGCTTCACTGATACTGTAATGCATTATATAAAAGGGATGCGGGTGGCGCTGTGGTCTAAACCACTGAGCCTCTTGGGCTTGCCAATCAGAAGGTCAGCAGTTTGACTCCCCGCAATGGAGTGAGCTCCCAGTGCTCTGTCCCAGCTCCTGCCAACCTAGCACTTCAAAAGCACGCCAGTGCAGGTAGATAAATAGGTACTGCTGTGGCAGGAAGGTAAACAGTGTTTCCGTGTGCTCTGGTTTCTGTCATGGTGTTCCATTGCGCCAGAAGTGGTTTAGTCATGCTGGCCACATGATCCAGAAAGCTGTCTGTGGACAAACACCATCTCCCTCGGCCTGAAAGTGAGATGAGCGCCACAACCCCATAGTCGCCTTTGACTGGACTTAACCGTCCAGGGGTCCTTTACCTTTTTTACCTTTTACCTCAATGCATTATATACAGAGCTGCCATTGAAGACAGTTCTAAGCTGCAATTTCTAGAAAGCACAGCTGCAATGCTGTTACCTGTAAGTGGCGTGATTATCACATGGGAGCCTCTGTCATCTGAGCTGTGGGGAGAGGCTGGAGGTGGTAGTCCTCTGACTGTACAATGCTCATCCTAGGGAGACTCACCTGGGACCTACTCTGACACCCTGTTGGCACCAATGTGTGTCTGTTCCCCAGGTGTTGTGATCTTCTGCACTTTGCTTTTGCGCTACTTGGTGGTGGTTCTTATTCTGCTGTGTTTCTGTTGCCCTTTTAGACTGTGGTGCTTTATTGTAAACTTAAATTTCTGAAAGCTGCCTTGCTGTGAAACAAATGAACACTGATTGGAAAGTATCTCCTATGAACTGCAGCAGGGGTTCCCAAATCTTTTGTCCCATGGACCACTTCAAAATTGCAAAGGGTCTTGGCAGATCATTTAATGAATTCTCTGCTTCTTGTAAGCAACTGCAAGGTGCTGTGCTAGATACTGTATGGTTTTTCATTCTGTTCTTGTGGCTTCTTTTATTCCTTATAGAATCACACAATTGTAGAGTTGCAATTGGCCAGTGATGGCCAAACTCCGCCCTCCAGATGCTTTGGGACTACAATTCCCATCATCCCTGACCACTGGTCCTGTTAACTCATGATGATGGGAGTTGTAGTCCCAAAACAGATGGAGGGCCAAGTTTGCCATCACTAATCTAGTCCAACCCCTTTCAAAGCAGGACTCTTTTGCTTAACGTGGGGCTCAAACCCACAACCCTGAGATTAAGCATTTTGTTTTCTACCAGTTGTCTTACAATTTAAATACAATTTAAAAATGAAGGAACCAATAAAAATAGAATTTAATATCAGTATATAAATATTTGATGGTCAGGATGCACCATGTCTAGTCTTCACCCACACATCCACAGACCTAGAGCACAGTTTGGAAACTAACAAACTCAAAGCAATCTCATAGCTCTGGATAAGCATGTTAAGAGTTTACACTTCTTTTTGCTTCAAAGTCCAGAGTGTGTTTGGGAGGAAAAACCATGATGCTGCAACCTTCTTGCAACCAAGCAGGTTGGCATGTGGTATGTGCTTGCTTAAAAGAGGATCTCAAATCCCTGGAAGAAACACAGGGCAGAAATAAAATAAGTAAGGCTGCAACACTATGAAGAGTTGCTGAGCTGTAAGACCCACTGAACACCAGGAGGACTTACTTCTGAGCAAATATGCATAGAAATCTACTGCTAGATTTTTAAATGTTTAAAACATAACCCCAGCTCTCCACACCCCCCCAAAAAAATTGTTTCTTACAAAAATCCAGCTCTGGACAAAGAACAGAAAATGCAACAGGAGGAGCACTTTAGCACGTTCTCAACTAAACATGAAGCAAAATTGCAGACAAATTCATGAAAGATGCACAAAATCCTCCTTGTTCTTCAACGATGATGAATATATTCTCTTCTGAAAGATTGATGCCATTGTTTTCATTCTCCGCTTATTTGGTGAAATTGTTCTAAATTTATATCCGTAGCTACACCAGCAGTTTACGTAAGGTCTATATATAGACGCTTAGGGCTCCAGTCCTTTACCTCCATACCTGGGAGTAGGCTCCATTTATCTCAATGAAACTTAGACTGTGTATACATCATATATTTAAACCATATTTCAAAATACATACTTTCCTTCAAAGAATTCTGGGCACTGTGGTTTGTTATGGGTTGCTGGGTATTATAACTCTGTGATAGGCAAATCAGGGTGGGGGGAGAATGTGCTTTGGATGTTCTTTGAAGATAAAGTGTGTACACAGCCTTACTTCTGAATAGATGTGTATCAGATTACACTATAAGCCACTAAGAGGGATACAGGAGGTCCTTATCAGTATAAAGAAGTCCCCCCACATTTGATTAAATCCCATCTCTGTGGCTGTGGGCCAAATGAGATGTGATGGCAAAGGGATTATTCATTTAAAGTCTCTCTCTCTCTCTCTCTCTCTCTCTCTCTCTCTCATAATCCAAATGGTAACTTTCCTTTCCTCCCAAGCTGCTTTCAATGGACATGATTTTAAAAAGCTGGTATAGCTCACTTGGTAGAGCATGAGACTCTTAATCTCAAGGTCATGGGTTCAAGCCCCAAGTTGGGGAGGAGAGATTCTTGCTTTGCAGGGGGTTCGACTAGATCAGTGTTTCCCAACCTTGGATCTCCAGCTGTTTTCAGACTACAATTCCCATCATCCTTGACCACTGGTCTTGCTAGCTAGGGATGAAGGGAGTTGTAGTCCAAAACTAGCTGGAGACCCAAGGTTGGGAAACACTGGACTAGATGAAGAGATCTTCATGGTCCCTTCCCACTCTACAGTTCTATGACTCTAATACTGGATACAACCTATTAAATGAAATAATGCATCTAACAACACATTTTGTTGGGCCTTATGATCAGATCTGAAAACATTGTGCTAGTCTAGTGAAAAGCTTTCACGTTTTTCCTTGATCCCTTGCCATGCCCCCTCAGTTTCAAAAGCCATGAAGTGTGTGACTATGAGTCCTGGAAGACCTGTTCTCTGCCCTGCAGGCCTTTTCCAACTGGCTTAGAAGCATGGGGCCTTGACTGACTCCAGCTACAAAAGCTGAGGCTGCTGAATAGACCCTTGGTCTGAGGTGTTTGTGGTGTTTTGTTGAGGGGGAGTTTGTTACTATTGTATTTTTTTGTATCTTTATTTTAGATGTGGACATTGTTCAGTTTGGTGGTGTATTTTTAATGTTTGGTTTAATTTTTATGACTACTTTTCGTATGACGTAGTTATGTATTCTTTTCATGCTGTAAGCAGCCTTGAGCCTGGTTTGAACTGTGGAAAGGTAGCATACAAATAAAATTGTGTGTGTGTGTGAGAGAGAGACAGAGAGGGGGAGGGGAGAAGAGAAAGAAATGATATTCCCCCAAAGAGCAAGCGGAAAGAACCAGTTTTCTGGTTAACGGGGTTGGTGATTATTGACATAAATTTCTGAAATATGCAAATATCCTGCATTTGAGAGTGAAAGAAAACCCGAGATGAACATATTGGGGCAGATATACTATTCCTGTGATCTACAGTTAGTATTTTGTACATGCCTAAGTAAATTACACTGAAAGGTAAAACAGATTACAGGCACCCCCACTTATGTGCAATCCACTTGCTCACGACTACGTATATGTGCGGTGATGGGAAATAAATCAATAATGCAATTCTAACCTGAAATGGTGGGAGAGAGCGGGACAGTCCTTGCGGCTCATGAGGAGACTCTCCTCAAAGCCCAAAGAGAATACCAGTGAGCCAAAAGTCCAGAAAGAGAGACTCCAAGCTCCCCAAAATGGCACACTGGAGCGCTCATTGCTGCTGCGCTACCCCACTTGACAGCTGTTGGGTGTGAAGCTGTATCTACTGTATTTCAAATCAGAGTGACTAATTATTTAGAGGATTTAGAGATATAAGAGTCACAAAGACTGAGGTCTGCATTTGATGCGAAGTTATCTTCCTGTGGGGCTGCAGTTTGCCCTTGGAAGAGAGGAAAATCCTGCATCTTTCTCACTCTCTTGCACAAATCCACAGGATTTGGCATCTAGCTGTAAAGAAATGGGAGCTGGATCTGAAGTAACAAATGCAAAGAGATATTGGACAGGGAAAGAAAACCTCGGAATAAGCTGATCAACCCAGCAAAGTAAGGGACACGGGTCCTTTGCACCGTTTCATTTGCCTCCTGTCTCACATAGTACAATACTAAAGTGGGCTCCCTACTTACACACATTTCACTTGTGCATGCGGGGGCCCAGAACATAACCCCCACATAAGTGTGGAGTTGCCCGAATATCGGTTGTGCATCAATACACCAAATTAGCTGTGGTTCTTCATCTCATGATAGATATCTGATGTAGGATTTAGTGCCAACTCATTTGTCCATTACTGGGTGGACAGTTTTTCCTCGAAATGTTGCAGGAAGCAGGTCAGCAATCTAGTACGCAGCTTTTTCCTTCCTCTTTACGAAAGTGGTGGGTCACACAGGTAAAATGCCATTTTCACAGCACATAATTAATCTGGAGATGAGATCATGAGGAGCTATGGGTAGATGCTGGATAAGGCTACTATGGAAACTTTAACCTGTAAACCTCGTATAAATGTTGTAAATGTTTGCTTGCTGTTGTATGAAAAGTCGGGAACTGATGTCAAGAGCTGCCAAAAGGCTTTCGCAAAAGGAGCACACTGTCTGGGAAAATCTTTTTCTTTCTTACTGCAAGGGTATGAATATGATGGGATTTATTTCCCTGCTGAATTGTCTATGGGTCTTCCTACCCCAAAACTTTCTCGCTTCAGGCAGAAATATGCAGGTTATATGTCTTGTGCAGCCTTCCCAGCAGTTAAGCAAGCACAAACCTGTCAATACGTTGGTAATAAGGAAATAATAGGAAATAACAAGCTCTTTCCCTTCCTCAAGATTGTACAATGCAGGAATATAAATCAGACTATTGTTTCAGGTAACCCAGTATTTTCTACATCAGGGGTCTCTAATACGATGCTTATGAGCATCATGGTGTCTTCAGATATCTCCCTTGGTGCCTTCTAAGATCTTATTCGCCCCCCCTTTGCCCCCTAATTTGTATTAGTTTTCAATTGCAATCCAATAACAGCCTCATTATAACAATACCAATTTATGATACAATTACTAATACCAATCGTTCAAATACCAAATTATATAATTTAAATAAGGTGCCCCCGTGTGCTATAATTGATGGTTTGATGCTTTTCTTTATTTCTGCGTTCCAAAATCTTATTAATTCCTGTCATAATAATAATAATCCCTTATACAACAACTGCAATATCAATGACTTCTATTTGTGTTGACACATTAAACAATTTATAAAACTACAAGTGAGGCAGTCAAACTATATCCTTGTTCTTCCTGTGTGTGGAAATTATTCTTTCCGTGGTGTTTCTTCCTGTCTTTGGGAAATGTTATGCCTATCTTTTCCTGGTTCTTGCTGTTATGCATCATGCCTTGGGTGGAGTTGATATCACATTGTTGTTGCAGAAATTTCTCCCTCACTCTCTCCTATGTTTTGTTGTTTTAACAACAGCTGCAAAAGTCACTCTGCCTCCCTTTGTGTGTATATATGGGGGGGTGGTTATTATTTTATCCTTGGCAGACAAGGTACAGCTCCCAGCCATTTATTTATTTTTATTCTCAGAATGTACCCCACTTGGGCCCAGAGGAATCCTTAGGAAAGGAAGAAGAGAGCAAGGCAGTTGTGCTTCATTTCCCAGCATCAGGAGGAAGAGGAAACTTCTTGGTAACTATCCGCAGGCCAGAGATGTAGTGGGGGTGTGTGTCCGAGGTGGAAGCGTTTTAGTGACTGCAGTAAAATGAGGGGTTCTGGAGTCGCCTGCTTTGTTCGGGTGTGTAGTTTGTATGTGTGCTGGTGTGTGCTGCCTGGCTGTATTAGTGTGGGGTTTGTTGTTGTTTTTCCTGTAGGGGTTGCCAGGGGTGCACAGGATTAGTGAGTAGTACTAGTGTTCTTTGTGGGAAATTGATAGTGCTCCCTAATTCTCCAGTTCAGATTTGAAGCCATATTTAAAGTGATTTATGGACACCAATATGAATCTTCTTATAGTTACTTAGCATTGGCTGGAGCAGAAGGTCAGGTAAGGAAATGAGAAACACTGCAGTTGTGGAGATATTAATTCCAGAACTGTGGCCAGAAAAAGGAGAGGAAGAGCAGAGATTTGGTGTCTTGTTCAAAGCACTAAAATCCTAACAAACCCTGGGCTCCCAGGCCTGACAAATGTATTGACTGGTACACCACCTTTTCTCTGAGAAGATTGAGGTAGCATGTATGGTTCTCTGCCCTTCATTTTATTATCACAATGACCTTGTAAAGTAGGCTAGGTCAAATCACCGAGTGAGCTTTGTGGCTGATGGGGGATTTGAACCTAGGACCATCACTGTACACACTCTGCCCTGATGACTAAGTCAGCATTGTTGTTGTTATCCTGCCCATCACCCTAAGGTACAACAATTAAAACACACTTGCTTATGGTTGGTTTTGGTTTTCTGCAAGCCTCAATGGAGAGCATTTAACTCACAAAGAAAATCATTTTGGCAATTTTCCAGCGTCTTTTCATCACAAACAGTAGGAATGATAAGTGGTTTGCATGTTACGTCTATCGGCCTTATAATATCAAAGGCCCATGTAGCATTTGGATGTGGTAAGCAGAGCCAATTGTGCTTACTGGTGTGTTGCACCAGGAGGCTGGCCTCTCAGGGGCGCCCCAGAGAGTGGGGGAGCTGTGCGGCTTTGCCGGTAGTCTCCCTTTTCCCTGCACACTTCTCCTCTCTGAGGGAGGAGAGCGATCTCCGCAGAGACTTGGGAAAAGGTCAACAACTCTGGGAAACTGGGGGGAGGGGGAGGGGTGCCGGAGGGATCTTTGCACCACGGCGCTAGATATGCTTAAGACGGCCCTGGTGGTAAGACCATGCATGCATGGTTGCTGGTTTGGGGACTTATTAGCATTTCTTTCTGCAAACAACTACTGTTGAAGCTACAATGAAGAAGAGCAAGAATGAATGGAGCAAAGCATTCGACCACTGGTTAATAATACATCACCAGGAAATTCAGTCTATTAAGCTTTTTCTATATGCAGTAACAGCAGCAAGAATATTATTGGCCCAAAAATGGAAGCAAGAAGAATTACCAACGATGGAAGAATGGAGGATGAAATTAATGGACCATGCGGAACTTGATAAACTAACAGGAAGGATGCGAAACCGGTGGGACCAGAAATTTACCAAAGACTGGAGTAAATTTACGGATTATTTGAAAAGTATTTGTGATGACCAGACGATGTTTGTAGGTTTACAAGAAGTTCTGTGAGGAATAAGATTAGAAATATTGTAAAAATGGAGAAGGAGAGATGATATGTTAAGAGATGTAAAGGCAATATTTAGTTAGGAAATGCATAAGAAGTGATTAAGACGGAGGATTATCAGAGGTGCTGATGGAAGTCCAATAAGATTGCATTTGTGATAAACTGTGTGGTATGTTTTATAATTTTGTATGATAAAAACCAATAAAAATATTTTTTAAAAAAGAAAATTCAGTCTATTATGGCAAATTATTA